TCCAGCCTCCCTGCTGTGTGGGGACCATGAGGCTGGAACAGCAGTGCAGGCTGCCCGCTGCATGGGGGAAGGGGGAGCTGGACTTGAGCCGTGGGCCACCGGTAAGGTAGTGGTCTGTGGACTGCACTTTGAGAACCACTGCCCTAGAGGCAAACAGATCTCACTAGATACACTGATCATGATAATTTTTAAAGGGGGGGCGGAGGGGTGGGGGGGGGAAGAGAGGAAGGTTGGGCATGGGGTCCCCAAGAAAGTACAGTCTGTGCTTGGGCAGCAGCTGTACATGGAAACAATTTGTAATAATCCTACACTTGTCGACAGGCTGCCATTACCCTGCTGATGGTTAACAGGCAAACCTGGGCTCAGCTTCTGGATGCAAGTGGGGGACACCTGGCAGCCAAATTCTGTGACACCTTGGTTCCAGCAGCACAGTACGAAGGATGTTTTGGGAGAGCACTGTAGTATGGCGGTGGGGAAATGGCAGCCCCAGGAAATCAGGACAAGCTTTGACACCCTCTCCCAACAAAATTCTATTGATAGCTCTGTGTACATCCATGCTCTGTTTGGACAGAACGCAGACCCAGGCAGGGCGTAGCCAGCTCACAGAAATACAGCCTCCGGTCATCCTGTCCCCACACCTCCGGGTCTGCAAGAGCAACTTCCCATGCCATGCCCCTCCCACACAGCAACTTACTGCCCCGGGCGGCTGCCATTCCCCCCCTCCAGCTGCACTATAGCAACTCACCACCCCACATGGCCATCAACCCCACCGCCCCTCTCCCCCGCCTGCACAGCAACTTACCCTGTTCCCTTCCTTCATGCTCCACATACAGTTGCTGAGAGTCCTCACAAACATCAGAACTTGAGAACAATTCCTTGCTGCCTGGAGCACTGGATTGAGCCTAAGCGCCTCATCTGCTTTCATCTGTTCATCAATAACTTCTGCCTCTGACTCTGTGCATTCTCCTCAGGTGTGGACCTAGGGTTCCTATCCCGGATTACATCCAATTCTTTATAAAAATGACAGCTTGTGGGTGCAGCACCAGACCAGCGGTTTGCTGCCTTTGCTGTCTTGTGTGCCTGCTGGAATTCCTTTACCTTGGCTTTGCATTGTAGAGTCTCGCGGTGATACCTCTTCTCACACAGGGCTCAAGAAATGTGACTGTACATGTCCCCATTCCTATGGGTCACTTGCAGTTGTGAATACACAGATTCTTCGCCCCCCACACTGATAAGATTCAAAAGCTCTGCAGTGCTCCAAGTTGAAGAGTATTTTGAGCGAGAGCCACCTGTTTCCCTGAGAAGACGCGGTAAGGACCACTACACGGGAAATAGGCTGGAACCTGGAGGTCAATCAACTGGACAAAAACCCTACTATAATAGAGATAGAAATGTAGCCGTGTTAGTCTGGTGTAGCTGAAACAAAATACAGAACTATGTAGCACTTTAAAGACTAACAAGATGGTTTATTAGATG